GCACCCAGATACATAAAGCAAGTTCTTAATGACCTACGAAGAGATTTAGACTCCCACACAATAATGGCGGGAGACTTTAACACCCCACTGTCAATGTTAGACAGATCAATGAGACAGAAAATTAACAAGGATGTTCAGGACTTGAACTCAGTTTTGGACCAAGCGGACCTAATAGACATCTACAGAACTCTCTACCTCACATCAACAGAATATATGTTCCTCTCAGCACCACATCGCACTTATTCTAAAATTGACCACATAATTGAAAGTAAAACACTCCCCAGCAAATGCAAAAGAATGGAAATCATAACAAACAGTCCCTTAGACCACAGTGCAATCAAATTAGAACTCAGGATTAAGAAACTCACTAAAAACCACATAACCACATGAAAACTGAACATTCTGCTGCTGACTGAGGGTAAATAATGAAATTAAGGCAAAAATAAATAAGTTCTTTGAAACCAATGAGAACAAAGACACAACATACCAGAATCTCTGGGACAGAGCTAAAGCAGTGTTCAGAGGAAAATTTATAGCACTATATGCCCACAGTAGAAAGCAAGAAAGCTCTAAAATCGACACCTTAACATCACAATTAAAAGAACTAAAGAAGCAAGAACAAATTCAAAAGCTAGCAGAAGACAAGAAATAACTAAGAGCAGATCTGAAGGAGACAGAGACAAGAGAAACCCTTCAAAAAAAATCAATGAATCCAGGAGCTGGTTTTTTGAAAAGATTAACAAAATAGATAGACCTCTAGCCACAATAATAAAGAAGAAAAGAGAGAAGAATCATACAGACACAATAAAAAATGATAAAGGGGATATCACCATTGCTTCCACAGAAATACAAACTACTATCAGAGAATACTATAAACAGCTCTATGGAAATAAACTAGAAAATCTAGAAGAAAGAGATAAATTCCTGGACACATAAACCCTCCCAAGACTAAACCAGGAAGAAGTCAAATCCCTAAACAGACCAATAACAAGTTCTGATTGAGGCAGTAATTAATAGCCTACCAATCAAAAAAAAAGCCAGGACCTGATTTACACCAGAGGTACAAAGAGGAGTAGTACCATTACCTTTCAAAACTATTGCAAACAATAGAAAAAGAGGGACTCCTCCCTAACTCATTTTATGAGGCCAGCATCATCCCGATACCAAAACCTGGCAGAGAAACAACTAAAAACAAAAATTTCAGGCCAATATCCCTGATGAACATCAATAAGAAGATCCTCAGCAAAATACTGGCAAACTGAATCCAGCAGCACATCAAAAGTTTTATCCACCCCAATAGTCAGCTTCATCCCTGGGATGCAAAGCTGGTTTGATATACATAAATCAATAAACATAATCCATCACATAAACAGAACCAATGACAAAAATCACATGATTATTTCAATAGATGCAGAAAAGGCCTTCAATAAAATTCAACACCACTTCATGCTAAAAACTCCCAATAAATTAGGTATTGATGGAACATATCTCAAAATAGTAGGAGCTATTTATGACAAACCCACAGCCAATATCATACTGAATGAGCAAAAGCTGGAAGCATTCCTTTTGAAAACCAGCACAAGACAAGGATGCCCTCTCCTCTCTCACCACTCCTATTCAAGGTAGTATTTGAAGTTCTGGCCAGGGCAATCAGGCAAGAGAAAGAAATAAAGGGTATCTGAATAGGAAGGAGGAAGTCAAATTGTCTCTGTTGCAGATGACATGATTGTATATTTAGAAAACTCCATCTTCTCAGCCCAAAATCTCCTTTAAATGATAAGCAACTTCAGTGTTGTATGAAAGGAGAGAAGGTTAGCACTCCCCTTGACAAGGATGGAAGAGGCCCTCGGGCCTGACAACACGCATACGGTTAAGGAAAAAAAAAATGATAAGCAACTTCAGCAAAGTCTCAGGATACAAAATCAATGTGCAAAAATCACAAGCATTCCTGTACACCAGTAACAGACAGAGAGCCAAATCACGAGCAAACTCCCATTCACAACTGCTACAAACAGAATAAAATACCTAGGAATACAACTAATAGAGGACGTGAAGGACCTCTTCAAGGAGAACTACAAACCACTGCTTAGGGAAATAAGAGAGCACACAAAGAGATGGAAAAACATTTCATGCTCATGGTTGGTAAGAATCAATATCATGAAAATGGCCATAGTGCCCAAAGTAATTTATAGATTCAATGCTATCTCCATCAAGCTACCAGTGACCTTCTTTACAGAACTGGAAAAAACCACCTTAAACTTCATATGGAACCAAAAGAGAGCCCACATAGCCAAGACAATCCTAAGCAAAAACAACAAAGCTGGAGGCATCACGCTACCTGACTTCAAACTATACTACAAATCTACAGTAATCAAAACAGCATAGTACTGGTACCAAAACAGAGATATAGACCAATGGAACAGAACAGAGGCCTTGGAAGTAACACCACACATCTACAACCATCTGATCTTTTACAAACCTAACAAAAACAAGCAATGGGGAAAGGATCCCCTATTTAATAAATGGTGTTGGGAAAACTGGCTAGCCATATGCAGAAAGCTGAAACTGGACCCCTTCTTTACACCTTATACAAAAATTAACTCAAGATGGATTAAAGATTTAAACATAAGAACTAACACCATAAAAACCCTAGAAGAAAACCTAGGCAATATCATTCAGGACACAGGCATAGGCAAGGACTTCATAACTAAAACACCAAAAGCAATGGCAACAAAAGCCAAATTAGACAAATGGGATCTAATTAAACTTAAGAGCTTCTGCACAGCAAAAGAAACAATCATTAGAGTGAACTGGCAACCAACAGAATGGGAAAAAATGTCAGCAATCTACCCATCTGACATAGGGCTAACATCCAGAATCTACAAAGAACTAAAACAAATATACAAGAAAAAAACAAGCCCATAAGAAGGCATTTATGTGGCCAAGAAACATGAAAAAATGCTTATCACCACTGGTCATTAGAGAAATGCAAATCAAAACCACATTGAGATACCATCTCATGCCAGTTAGAATGGCGATCATTAAAAAATCTGGAGACAACAGATGCTGGAGACGATGTGGAGAAACAGGAACACTTTTACACTGTTGGTGGGAGTGTAAATTAGTTCAAAAATTGTGGAAGACAGTGTAGTAGTTCCTCAAGGATCTAGAACTAGAAATACCATTTAACCCAGAAATCCCATTACTAGGTACATACCCAAAGGATTATAAATCATTCTATAAAGACACATGCACACATATGTTTATTGTAGCACCGTTCACAATAGCAATGAGTTGGCACCAACCCAAATGCCCATCAGTGATAGACTGGATAAAGAAAATGTGGCAATATACATGATGGAATACTATGCAGCCATAAAAAAGGACGAGTTCATGTCCTTTGCAGGGACACAGCTGAAGCTGGAAACCATCATTCTCAGCAAACTAACACAGGAACAGAAAACCAAACACTGCATATTCTCACTCATAAGTGGGAGTTGAACAATGAGAACACATCATACACTGGGGCCTGTCAGTGGTTGGGGGGCTAGGGGAGGGATAGCATTAGGAGAATACCTAATGTAGATGACGGGTTGATGGGTCCAGTAAACCACCATGGCATGTGTATACCTACGTAACAAACCTTCACATTCAGCACATGTATCCCACAACTTAAAGTAAAAATTTTTAAAAAGGAGCAAAAGTTCATATCTGGCTTACAGAGCCACTCCCCCAAAAACAAACAAAATGTGCAAAAGACCTGAGCAGGTGCATCCCAAATGGGACTATCCACATGGCCAGTTTGCATATGAAAAGGTGCTCAGCCTCCCCAGTCAACAGGAAAATGCAAATAAAAACCATAATGAGACACTACTTACTACACATTACCCACATGCCCTTGAGTAAAAAGACTGACAATACCAAGTGCTGATAAGAATGCAAAGAAATAAATCTCTCATAGATTGCTGGAGGGACAGAAAGTGTACCGTCACTTCAGTCATCTGTTTGGCACTATCCACTAGATGGTATGCACACCCTAGGGCCCAGGAGTTCCATTCTGAAGTATGTATCCACCAGGAATACATCAACCAACTTCTGAGACAGTGCAGGGACAGGGCTTATCTTCAGCTCACCCCACTACAGCATTATTTCTTGCATTCCCACTGATCACAAAACCCATACCATTACATCACCGGCATACCTGAAGTCATGCAAAGAAAATAACCACATTGTTTTTCTGCACTCTCATAATGTTTAAAAGAATAAACGAATGTTTAATTCTTTTACTTAAAGAATTCCAGAAACTAACCCTAGGAAATCCAAAATATCCAACCAAAATTGCCAGTGTCTCACCTCAGGAAGGAATGCTAAACAACTGATGTACAGCCTTCCTGCCACCGACCAGACCGCCAGCTAGCTCATTACTCAAGACAACCATCGTCAGCAGATAAGCTGACCCACATCCCCTACCCCTCACTTGCTCTACCCAGGCCAGCCCACATTCCTTACCTTGATATCAATTCCTTCTTAATTCCTGCTTAATAAAAAAATCCCTAACAGCTCATTTCAGGGAGTCAGCCAGAGAATCCTCCCTCTTCTGTGCTTCCTCCCTCATGCCTGGGCATAAGCTCCAATAAAGCCTTGTTGGGAAAACTCTTTTGGCCTCATGACAATTTCTATTGCATTGAGAGCCCAAGAACCTGCGGTCAGTAACACTCTGAGCAAAGAAAAAGGTCCCCTTTTCTGCAGGAGATGCAGCTTTGCATGCAGCCATACGTTTGGTGGAGTGCAGACTGTTTTTCAGTTGCATTTGCCTCTCTGGCTGGCTGCCTTTGGGCAGTGCACAGATATCAAACCCTCCCTGGCAGCCTTGCTTAGGAGAACAGAAAGATGATAATTACACACCTATCGGCCTACCAAGCACAGGCACACATGGAACATGTACTGGCACAGGGATACTACTGCCTGGGGCCGGCTGGATGTTGGTTGATGTCCCTTACCGCATAACCCTGTGTCTTTTTCTGGCACCATTTCAGTAGAGCATTGCGCTTGGAACCGCCATATTCCCGGGCCAAGGCCGCCAAAGGGTCTTTTCTTTCCACACTGGTTAGAAAGAAGGGCACAGAGTTAGAAGAAGATGCTAATATTTAGAATCCTCAAATAAACAAGAAATAAATACCTACTAGAAAAGCAAAAGTATATTAGCCGAATTAGTCACATTATTATTTTATATCTCACTGTATAAAATAAAAATTAAATTGTGCTTCCTATCATAAATCTAAGGAGAGTTGTGTTACATTTTGTTTTAAAATCCATCTGTTGCTCATCCATCTAGTCTTTTCTTTGTTTACTTAAGTACAATATTATTTGAATTAAAGATACCTAAACAAAACACACCCTATATCTTTCAAAACCAATTATCTAAATAACATGTAACAGGTACATTGTCTGGGAGCAGTGGCTCACATCTAGAATCCCAGAACTTTAGGAGCCAAGGCAGGAAGATTGCTTCAGCCCAGGAGTTCAAGACCAGCCTGGGCAACATAGCGAAACGCCATCTTTAAAAAAATAAAAAATAAAATAATTAGCTGGGCATAATGATGTGCACCTGTAATTACAGCTAATCAGGAGGCTGAGGCAGGAGGATAGCTTGAGACCAGGAGTTCAGGGTTGTAGTGCACTATGATTGTGCCACCTCACTATAGCCTAGACAACAGAGCAAGACCCCATCTCCAAAAAATAAAAGTAAACAAATTTTAAAGGTAGATTAAAAGGGCATATTAAAAACATCAGATATCCTGCCATTGTTTATCTCAATAACATAAATGTAAAATTGAAATAAGAATTTTACTAATTTAACTTTTCATTATGAAAGGTAAAATATCAATTTTTACCTTTATCAATTTTTCATTATGAAAGGTAAAATATCAATTATGAATAGCATATTCATATACACATAGCCTTTTGTATGCATTTCTGGCATAAAGAAAAGGGCAATTCAGAATAGCACTAATTCTGGTCCTTAAAATCTCTTTCAATTATGTAAATCGCTTGTACTTAAACAGGACAGTATGTAATATCTGGGGCTTTACATTACGCCTGTAAAACACACGACTTCATCTATTCGGATTCAAATATATGCTATACCCAAAGGTGTAACAAGACCTGAATTAATTCAGACTTCCATAAATCCTTCTATATATCCATATTTGTAATTATAATATTTACTAAAAAGCTATTACTCCTAAAGTAGCCAATTTTGTATACTGATACATCTACTCAATTCTTAAGTTCTACAAAGTCAAATACTATGTGTGTTGCACAATGCAAGGGGCTGGAAGAGATACCAGAATGTAAGCTGAACATTTACTGTCCACTAAATTATAGCATAAATGGAGACAATGGCATGAACTGTGCAACATTGTTCCACGCTACAAAGCAGTACAGAAACTAAACGCCCAAAACAGTGTAGACACCAAAGTCAGAGAAGGGATATGTCAATGTGCCAGGTATGAGGTACAACTTCATGAAAGGTTTGACCTTGAAGGAGAAGCAGTATTTACAGTATGAAAGGACAAAAGAAAAATGATTCAGGCTAAAACCTTATACACAAAGACTTGCCATCAGAAATTCTCATGTGATACTACAAAGGCAGGGACTAAAACAGGCTCAGGTGGAGGGAGGAACAGAGCCATTCTGGAAGGTGGGTGGGGTGGTGCTGAGTCGTGAGGCATCTAGAAGACCAGGATTAGGAGTGTGGATGACAGAGTCATGCGAGATTTTTGTGAGATCTGCAGCAGGATGTGCTCAGTGCTTCAGATTAACCAACACAGAGAAGCAGGGAAGACATAAGAAAGAGAAGCAGCAGCTGAAAGAGGTTTGCTGTGGCCTGGATGACCAGGGGCACTGAAAAGGGAGGAGGTGACAGAGGTGTGGAAGCAAAGACCAGCTCTTAGTGACCACCCTGCTGGTCTTGCCATCCTCTCCCTCTGCCAACCCCTCCTTCACATCCTTGTGAAAGTCCTTCTTAAACACTGATTTCAAAATGCCTCTCCAACCCTTACATGCCACTGTTTTCTGATGAATCCCCTTAAAATGCAGGTCCAATCTCACTGCACAATGTCAAAATCTGAAACAAAATCCCACAAACTTGGTGGTTCCCCAGTGCTTTACCAAAATAATGCACAAACCTCTTCCTTAGCAATGAAGATTAATTACAATATGGTTCCAACCTGCCTTCCAGCTGGAATGTCCTAGTCACCTATCCATCCACCCAAAAAATACTGACAGAGAGCTTGTTATGCATATGTATGGCAGGGTCCCTGCCCTCAGGAAGCCCATAGTCTAGTCCAGACACATAATCCACCCACACTCCCTGAACACTACTCCACAGCATGGTTGTAATGGTACCTTTAGAGCCCTTGGCAGAAATGCCACTTCTCTCTAGACTTCTTGATCCAACTAACAACCTCTCAAGACTTTGCTTATGCAGTATTGTTTTTACAGCCCTTAATTCCATTTTGCATACTACTGCTGTCCAGGGTCCTCCTTTTAGACTCACCAAGGGCAGGCACAGTGTCTTAGTCATGTTCATGCAGGAAATATTTATAAAAGTAAATTGGCCATGGGGACAAACAGCAAGAATAAAAGGTGATCAGCCCGATGTTTTTCTGATTTCTTATTGTTTGAAACATGATACCTGAGTTTGCTTTGTGGTTTCCATGCCCTGGTGGAAGCGCTCAGCAGTCTTGTGTCCCCGAAGCCCAGAGATGGGGGTCTGCTCAGTGACTCCAGTGAGGGACTCTTGCGGAGGTGCGGGTCCGGCTTCAGGGCCTCAGTCCTTCCCTTTAGAATATCTGTGGGAACAACCACATAATCACCCATTCCTCAAGCACCAGCTCTTGACTGCCATCATATTTCTTCTCAAATATAACACAGTTCTCATTTTATCCTCAAGTACAAACATATATATAGTTTCTGAAGTAATAAAAATGCAATAGGGATGTGGATTCTCCAGGCAGGACCACAATATCATTTATAGGATCTAGCGCCGGATCAACCTCTTGTTCAAAAATTACTGCGAATTTCAAGACGATGTCATCAGAGTATTACACCAAGCATGTGCTCTTCTAAGGGCCTTGTGCAAGTGCCAACAAAGCCAGCCCTGTCCCCAGGTAATACCTTTTGTTTTAATTGACAGACATCTGAGAGATAGTGGCAGAAAAATGCCTTGTATGATGATCAGATCACAGGTAAACAAGAAGCTGGTAACCAAAAAAAACTATTTTATGACAGAAAAGGCCATTCTAGCCATAGGGCCTGGCTTGCTAAAAAAGAAGTAAAAATCATTCTTTCAAGGCTCCTTTCTGCTGTCATATTAGTCTGCGTCAAAACAGGTAATGAAATGGACTGAATCCTTCAGATGATATTCCTTTTTCTTTTTCTCTTTTAGAGACAGGGTCTTGCTGTGTTGCCCAGGCTGGAGTTGGACTCGACCTCCTACAGCAATCCTCTGCCTCAGCCTCCCAAGTAGCTGAGACTACAGGAGAGTGTACCACCATGTCTAGCCAGATGATATTTCCTAAAGGATCATAAAAGAATGGAACAGAAGAAACTTTTCAAGATTGTCTAGTTTATATTTATAGAGGCAACTGGAGCTCAGAGAATTAAGTGCCTTGTTCAAAGCTACACAGCAGGCCAGGGACCAGGATTAGCTCACAGTGGTCCCTATAACCTGCGAATAGTCACAGAAGAAAACAATCCTTCTACAGCTCATAGCCATTAATTAGGGGCAGTAAAGTTGGGAGTGAGGCTGGTCAGCTCTAAATAGCAGAGAAAAACAGTATTTATATCACTAAAGAGAACAACAAGAACAGCACATTAATCTTTGGTTTCTGCAGCTCCCAATGACCTCAACGTTGACAAGCAATTTCTGGAGATTGTCAGAAGCAAGTAATTGTCCCTGCAATCCTTTGCTGTAATAACAGTAAACAGAATCATCCAAGCAGACAGGTGCCTGGTGGGGGCAAAGTGAGGAGGGCTGTCAATGAGGTATTAACTTCAGAGCAATAGCTGTTGTGGTCTCAAGTTCAGTATGTATCTTGTCAACTAAAATAATGGTTTTTTGGACAGGCATGGTGGCTTATGCCTGTAATCCCAATGCTTTGGGAGGCCAAGTCAGGTGGACTGCTTGAGGCCAGAACAGGCCAGCCTGGACAAATTTGTGAGACCCTGTCTCTACCCCCTCAAATTTTTTTGTAATTAGCCAGGCATGGTGACATGCACCTCTAGTCCCAGCCACTTGAAAGCTGAAGCAGGAGGGTCACTTGAGACCAGAAGTTTGGGGCTGCAGTGAGCTATGATAATGCCACGGCACTCCCGCCTATGTGAGAGCAAGACTCTGTCTCAAAGAAAACCAAAAAGAATGGTGTCTCTACACAACAGGAAACTTTAAGGCTAGTGGGACAGAGAAGACACAAATATTATCTACCAAAGGCTTACCTAGTACACTTAAAAAACGGTTGAGATGGTAAATGTTATATTATGTGTCTTTTACCACAATTTTTCAAAAACCCCACACCTAGCACTATGCGTATAATCTAGTTATTCCCTCTTCTGTGCTACACAGCGGTGACTGTAAGCCAAGTGGACCTCCCGCTCTGCTTTGGCCTCCTCCACTCCCCTCCTAGCACGGGGCACTCAGGCCTGGTCTCCTGCAGCGCAGACTCTCTCATTTCTCTACCTCCACTGAACTCCATCTGTTTGTTCTTACACTCTTGACTTTACACTGGCCTTTGGTTTCCATTTCCTCCTGCTGGGAAGTCATTATCATGACTTGGAGTCCCACATAAACTATCATTGCTTATTTAGAAAGCTATCACTCAGCGCAGTCAGCAGCCTCAGCACCAAGAAGCACATGGTAGAAAGAATCAGGAGACTTCCTGGCTGGAGAGCCATCCAAAATCACTGCAGCCTTAATAAGTCACTCAATCTCTGTAGGGCTTGAATCTCTCCCATGTAAAATTCAAGGAATGGGCCGAGATCATCTTCAAATTTTCTTATCAGTGTTTATCCAACTCTAAAATCTTTATTTAATTCCATGAAAAAGCAAAGAAGGTTATTCAGAAGGGAAAGTTCTTTTATATAAACAACTATTTTAAGAACAAGCTGGATTGTGCTTGACTAAGGTCTAAAGGAAGTACAGTTGTAGAAATTTTATTTTTTGCTTAGAAACCAAAGGATTTCTGTCCATGTGATGCAGACTTTTGGCTTTCTATCCTTCCTACCGGCACCCATAAACAGTTCATTTAGCGTTCTTTTTTACTTTTTTATTTCCTAACAGTGACCGCATAGACACATACATAGGTTCTAGGGCCCAAATTCTGGACAACCTGAACTTCCCACTAGGCTCAAGTGCTGTTGTCCTTTTAGTTCTGGGCAGGTAAACTGGATCAGCAGAGAAGAACAGGTGAGATGTGCACAGCAAACACTTCCACAGCACTCACCACGAGCCCAGCATGTTCTAGGCACTTTAACGTGCTAACTCAATCCTTAATATGATCCAATGAGGTGGACAGGATTATTTCCATTTTAGAGATGAGGAGATAAAAGCACAGAGAGGTGGGGTGATGAGGCCAAAGCCAGGCTGAGCAGCAGTGATGAGACTCAAACCCACATGTCCCTGCTTCTGGGTCCCCTCTTGACGGCTGCTTCACATCAGCCTGTGACACAGGAGATGTAGTGCAAACCCAAATGTGATGATGGGTGGGGACTGCTGAATGCAACCTCCACTTTACAACCAAAATTTGAGTTAAAAAAAAAAAAAACAAAAACACACACACACACACACACACACACACACACACACGGTACAGCAATAGGAAGAGGACTGCACCAAAAGACAAATACCTTTAAAGAGGCAACTTTTGAGAATTGCAGAAGTAGAAGACAAATTCCAAATCAGGTAAGATTCTTCCCCTTAAATCAGTTACTTTTTAAAGATTAGAAAATATGCTCTTGAGATTCACTTAAAAAACAACAGGCCAGGTGCAGTGACTCACACCTATAATCCCAGCACTGTGGGAGGCTGAGGCAGGAGGATCAGTTGAGGCCAGGAGTTTGAGACCAGACTGGGCAACAAAGCAAGACCATGTCTCTAAAAAAAGAAAAAAACCCCACAAAATTGGGCCTGTCTCCCTAGCACAAGGGCACTGAGAAGTACAGCTGGCAGGAGACAAGACACTTTCTCCTTTCGTCAGCTACGCTGCTGCATCTAACATCCATGACACGTACGTTATTCAGGGGTTGAAATCACCTGCAAGAAATGCCACTGATTATTTTTCTAAGCTCAGTTTCGTGCAAAGAAATGAAGAAAAGTTAACTGCATGGAAAGATAAGTAAACAGTTCTTCATGTTTACATAATTTACCTGAGAGAGGAAGGTCGGGAAGGTCCAAGCGTTGAGTCACCCCTCTGCTGGCTGGCCGCACACTGCTGTAAGTTGAATGCCTCTGTAAAAAGCAGGGGAACACCGCATGGTGAGCTCATAACATCAAGAATAGCACAAACACAGGTATGTGTGTGTGTGCATGGGTGGGTGTGCAATAGTTCTTAAACACAGTGGAATAAGCAGGGGGGTTTATAATTAACTCATTTGAACAGGCAATACATGCAAATAGACACCATCCTCAAAAGCAATAAAAACGACAAATAGTGAAGAGAAAGTCTCCTTTTCCTTCCCATCCCCCAGTTCTTCTATCCAAGGGTAATCATTATTAATTGGCTTTGTGAATATCTTTCCTGGAATGTTCTACATATATTCAAGGATGTGTGTAAAAGTATTTTTTTAACTGCCAATAGGTATATGAAAAGGTACTCAACATCTCTAATCATCAGGGAAATGCAAATCAAAACTACAGTGACATGCCACCTCACATCTATTAGGAAGGCTATCATCNAAAAAAAAAAAAAAAAAAAAACAGAAAAATCACAAGTGTTGGTGAGGAGGTGGAGAAAATGAAACTCCTGTGGACTGTAGGTGGGAATGTACAATGGTGCAGCCATTACATCAAACAGCATGGAGGATTCCTCAAAAAATTAAAAATAGTACTACCAAATGATTCAGCAATGCCACTTCTTGGTATTTATCCAAGAAAATTGAAAACAGGATCTCAAAAAGATATATGCACCCTTATGTTCATTGCAGCATGATTCACAACTGCTAAGAGGTGGAAGCAACCTAAGTGTCCACCACCAGATGAATGCATGAAGAAAATGTGGTATATAATATACAATGGAATATTATTCAGCCTTAAAAAAGAAGGAAATCCTGTCCCATGCTACAACATAAATGAGTGTTGGAGATATTATACTAAGTGAAATACTCCAGTCACTGAAGGACAAGTGCGGCATAACTCCACGTTCGTTAGGAATCTAATGTAGTCAAAATCACAGAAGCAGACAGTGGAGCCGTGGCTCCCAGAGGCCTCAGAGAGGGGAAGTGGGAATAATTCCGTGGGTACAGAGTTTCAGCCAGGCAAGACAGAAAGTTCTAGAGGACACAATTATGGCAACAACCGATACTGGGCAGGGCCAGAGGAGGGAGAAGCAAGGATTGAAAAACTGTTGGGTACTATGCTCACTACTTGGGTGATGGGATCAGTCATACACCAAACCTCAGCATCCCAAAATATATCCATGTAACAAATCTGCACATGTACATCCTGAATTTGAAATAAAAGTTGAAATTATTCAAAAAAATTCTACAAACCTGCCATACTATATTGTGCTTCTAATTGATAATAAACCTGCCATACAATATTGTGCTTCTAATGGATAATATTTAAAAATTTGTTAAGAGAGTAGATTTCATGTTGTATTTTTTTACTGCCATTTAAAAAAGCATTTCAGAATGCAAGTAAGCATGATATTATTAAAGGAAAAACCTTGAAAAAAAAAAACTCTGTTTTTCTAAAAACACAAATGTTATAGCTTACATTGTTTTGTATACCGATTTGTTTCTTTCACTTACTGTATCTTGGATGTCATTCTCTACCCACCATCACCCACCATGTTGGCAGCTTCCCATGAGAAGTGCCACAAGAGGCCAAGCACATGGCTCTGGGGCCAGGTGGCTTCATTCTCTGTGCCTTATTTTATCTGTAAAATGGCAATGATACTAAAAATACTTACCTCAGAGAGTTATGGGAGGATTAAATGAGTTAAATCCAGTTAGAACAATCAAAACACAGCCCAGCACATGGTAAGCATTCAGTAGATCTTAGCTATTTTCATTACCATAATTTATTTCAGTGATTCTCTATTGATATTGATATTAGTATAAGGAACAATACTGCAATGAACATCCTGGTACATGTGTCTGTGCAGGGCCATTCTGAGGCTTTCCAGAACATTCTTTCTCTTAGAGGCTCTACTTCATATCACTTTTTTTTTGAGACAAGAGTTTCACACTGTCACCCAGGCTGTAGTGCAGTGGCGCGATCTCGGCCCACTGCAACTTCTGCCTCCTGGGTTCAAGCAATTCTCCTGCCTCAGCTTCCCGAGTACCTGAGACTACAGGCATGTGCCACCACACCCGGCTAATTTTTGTATTTTTTGTAGAGACGGGGTTTCACCATGTTGGCCAGGATGGTCTCGATCTCCTGACCTCATGATCTGCCCACCTCAGCCTCCCAAAGTGCTGGGATTACAGGCGTGAGCCACCACGCCTGGCCTGCTTCGTATCACATTAGACACAATACCATGTTCCCACATCCCACAAAAATATAATGGTTGTGGTATACAGTTTTCAAAAGTAGTTTTAATTTTGCTTTTGAAGTTGGCCAAACAAAAGTAACAATATGGGGCATTCCTATCCCATTCACAATCTTGTGGCAATATTTTACCATTAAGTATGACATTTGCTGTAAATATGTAATAGAGACCTTTTATCATATTAAAGAATTTCCATCAAGAAAGATATTAATCTTTATTAAATACATTTTCCTGCCACCTACTAAGATGATCTTTTTTTTTGTTTTTGAGACAGAATCTTGCTCTGTTGCCCAGGAGTGCAGTGGCACGATCTCAGCTCACTCACTGCAGCCTCTGCCTCCTGGGTTCAAGCGACTCTCCTGCCTCCCAAGTAGCTGGGGTTACAAGGGTGTGCCACCACATGCAGCTAATTTTTGTATTTTTAGTAGATATGGGGTTTCACCATGATGACCAGGCTGGTCTTCAACTCCTGGCCTCTAGTGATCCGCCTACCTTGGCCTCCCAAAGTGCCAGGATTACAGGTGTGAGCTACTGCACCCAGCCAACCATATTCTTTTTACACCTTTGTTAATGTGGTAAATTCCTGTGGTTGGCTTCAATAGTTAAAATCACCTTGCATTCCTGGAATAAACCCAACGTGACATGATCTTTTTCATGTATTTCCGAATAAGGTTTTCCAAGATTTTCTTCAGGATTTTTGCAAAGAGGTTCATGAGAAAGACTGACCTTTTAATTTTCTGTCTAATAATGTTCTTGCAAGTATTAGGGATCAAAGCTATGCTAACCTCTTTTCTAGTCTCTGAATTTACTAAGGAAGATGTTATTTCTTCCTTAAATGTTTGAGAGGTTTCATGGTGAAGCCATGAGGACCTGGCATTTCCTTTAAGGTAAAGATATCAATTATAGGTGATTGAGATTTCCTACTTTTTCCTACGTAAGTTCAGTAAATTACATTTTCCTAGGATTTTGACAATTTCATCAATATTTTCTAATTTATAGCACAAGCTAGTAATCTCTAATATTCTCTTTCTTTTGCTTTAATAATTATGAGATCTTCAGTGATGTACCCATTTAAAAATTCCTGATACGGGTAATTTATGCATTAGCTTTTTCAGATGTTTTGAATTTTAATAGTCCTTTAAAAGAACAAACTCCATGCAGAACTCCTTTAAATAGTCTTTTCACTGTAAGTATCTAGTAAAACAAAAATCTGGTTTTGTCGGACTGAAAGCATCTATCTTTTGTGTTCACCTTTGACGGGTATTTTCACCAGGTATAGCATTTTGAAGGTTATTTTCACCAGGTAAAGGAAAGCAGATATTTTCTTTCAGCATTTTGCAGATGCCACTACATTGTCTTTGGGGCTTCCATCATTTTTGTTGAGAAGAAAGATGGCAGTTTTGCTCTTGATCCTTTGCCATTGAGGTGTCTTTTTTCTTTTGTGTGCTTTTAGGATGCTTTCTCTTTAATATCCAGCAGTTTTAACCTAATGTGTCTAGGTGGTTTTCTTTGTACTTAATTTCACTTGGAGTTCATATTGCTTCTTGAATGTGGGCTTGACATCTTTTACCAGTTTTGGAAATTCTTGGTCATTATGCCTTCCAATATTGCTTCTGCCCTTTTCCCACCTTTTGGGGACTCCAATTACACATGAAATCTTCTCGCCCCATCCCATATGTTTCTTATGTCCTTTTCTCTATTTCCTATCCTTTTTCTCTGTGCTTCAGTTCAGATATTTCTACTGACTTGTCTTCAGTTCTTTAAGCCTCTCTTGATATCTCTAATGGATTCTTTTATTACAGATTGTGGTTTTCTGTGGAAATTCTCCACCTTGTCCCTTATTTTGTTGACTGCATTAATCTTTTTTGTTTTAGGGTCTATGTCTAATAATATCAATATCTAAATCTTCTGTGTCTGTTTCCATTGACTATTTTTCTCTTGGTTTTTCATCATCTGTGTTCAAGCAATTCTCCTGCCTCAGCCTTCTGAGCAGCACCACCGTACCCAGCTAATTTTGTATTTTCAGTAGAGACAAGGTTTCACTACATTGACCACACTGATCTTAAACTCCTGACCTTGTGATCTGCCCACCTTGGTCTCCCAAAGTCCTGGGATTACAGGAGTGAGCCACCGTGCCCAGCCATATCTGGTATTCGTAAAAGTTACTACACGACATTGTACGTTTTAAAATGTGGTTATGATTTAAGGATCTAGGTGATGTAATTGTCTGCCAGAGAGTATTTACTTCTACTTCCAGAAGGCAGTTAAGATAGGGGAAGAACATCTAAATCCAAACCCATGTTTTTATAAGTTTTAAGACTGAACAAACAAAAGACTTGCTTAAGATACTTAGGGAGGATATTTTAATAATCGAATAGCTAGAAAGACATTTTAAGGCAGGAAACAAAACAAAATCTTAAAAGAAAACACAACACAAAAATGTAAAATTTCTCTTCAGTAAAAGATAACTATTAATATAAATAACATTAAAAGATAACAAAGATAATAAAATTACATATGAAAAATGCACAATATATCAAGATTTCTTACAAACTAGAAAAAGACTAACACTTCAAAAGAAAACCAGGCAAAGTATGCAAGTTTCCATACAGACATACAAAAGATAAATGGCCTATAAACATATGAAGAAGTGCTTAACCTTACTGATAAAGTAATGCTAGATATTATTGTTCATTTATTCAATATTAAAACTTTATAAACAGTGTCAAAATTCTGGGAAAACAGTACTGTGAGTGGGAGGGCAAACTGACGGGCAATGAGTCTATCAAGTTTCTCAACATGCTGGAACAGGTCAAATATACTTCCTTTTCTAGGACTCCATTTTCTTTTACTAGGAATCAATTTGTAGAAGATCTCAAGAAGGGCTTACTCAACTCCATTCTCATCTCTTTGTAGGGTGACTTGCTGAATTATAAGGGACTGGGAAGCTAAAGGGTATATATACTAGCCAAACTCCCTTAAAGCTTGGCTCATCAAGTGGCCTAGCTTCTGTCAAACAGGCCCCCTCTCAGAGCATCTGGAAAGTGCAAGGGAGTGTAAGATCCCTTCTGCAGCTTCTCCTGGCAAGCATCATTGGAAAGGCATTAGCTGCTCTTTGGCAGGGGAGCACAGGTTCTGGGGTCTGTTCCACTGTTTTCTGGGCAGTATCAGGCAGGCATAGAGCCTGCTTTGCTGGCATGGACTGCACCTGTGGCACTGTTGTCCTGAGGCTGATCCTTGATCTTGGGCAGCAGTGGCAGTCCTGGGTAAGCACCTAGAGACAGAAGCTCCTTTAATGGGCCAACTTTCAGATGCTCTGGGAACCTTTCCTGGAAGCTCAGTGCAGTCTAGAGCTTTCTCCAGCCCTCCCGGTACCAAAAGCCCCGTATTAAATTCCTTTCTGCTTAACTACTGATCTCCTGGTTTTAACTAGTAATCTCTGATATTTGCAAATGAATCTTGATATACCCTTTTTAAAAAAGTAACCGCCACATTGGGAGGCCAAGGCGGGTGGATCATGAGGTCAAGAGATCGAGACCATCCTGGTCAACAAGGTAAAACCCCGTCTCTACTAAAAATACAAAAATTAGCTGGGCATGGTGGCGCGTACCTGTAGTCCCAGCTACTCGGGAGGCTGA